GTACGATGAGAAGAGGGTACTGATGGTAAACAAAACAAAACAAAAATCCATATTGTTCATTTGCAAAATGTTAACAAAAAAAAAAAAAAAAATTCAAAACTGAAATCAAAATGAATTTATGGAATTAAAAATAGTCAAAATTAATCAGAATTTTATCAAATGACTCTTTGAGTTGATAATTATCTGATATCAATCAATCGATAGGTTATTGTTATCTGTGTGCGATCGATTGATCGATTTAAAACGTACAATTTTCGAAAAAAAAAATTATCCCATAATGTTCAACAAAAAAATTGTTTTTTCACGCGAAGAAAACATTCACACAACAGCACCTATTATCTTTATCATTGACTTTTTTTTTGCCTGAATATAATTATTTGAAAAAATTCTTACAATTTGAGAACAAAAAAAAAATTTCACTATGTAATCATAATGATAACAAATAATTTCACCATATTTAAACCATATTTATATATGAAATAGAGTCAAAAAAAATAGAGTTCAAATGTTTTGACCTTTTTTTGTTTCTACTGTTATTGACCGATACAAAAAAACAATTGATACAAAATTGGTTATTTTGCCATTATATTAACTGTTATTTATATTACATTCCAGCAACAACAACAACAACAACAACAACAAAATCGCTGTATTATCTCATGTTCTCAATATTATTACAACTAATAATGATGATGATGATGATTCTCAATTCCAGTTTAATGTTATTGTTTTGTTTTTTTCAAACTGAATATTGAAATGATGATAAGTTTTTTTTTCTCAGCATATTATATAGCCCCATAATGATCATAAAGTTTTTTTTTCGCTTATTATCTCGTAAAAAATACAAACCAATTATGGTACAATTAGAGTTAACAGCAACAAAAACAACAACAACAACAACAGCTACTGAAACAAATAATTTTCAAAAAAACTTGTAATTATAATCCATTTTTGAAATGTTGAAAAATATTTATTTTTTTCATTCAATGAAACAACCATTGACGAGCGGGAAAGAATAAGAATTATGGTGAAGTGTTAAATTTTGTGTATTTAAAATGTAAAATTTTTTTCGGATCGTTTGTTGAGAACCAAAAAAAAAAAAAAATATGGAGGCAATTCTTGTGGGAGAAAAAAATTTTCAAACACGAAAAATCGAGGCAAAAAATCTATTGCTTCAAATGTTTATTTTTATTTTCATTTTTTTCTGGTGGTAGAAAAACTGATTGATCCAATGATACATTCCAGCTTACTATCTTCTGACCACGAATCCACCAAACGCCATGACATGGAAATTATTTTCGCGTTAAGATTAAGAGCTTGGATTTATTTTTAAACGAAATGAACGAAAAAACTAAAAAAAAACAAGGACAACTAGAACAATTTTTTGATGCAAAAAAAATGCATTAACCGAGAAAGAAATAAACAATTTTTGTTGCATTTTCAAAAAATGGCTGAAAATGGCTGAAAATGCAACAAAAATTATTATCATGATGATGATGATGATGGATCATCATTTTTGGTAAGATTTTTGCAAAGATAACCAAAGACAACAACCAAAAAAAATCTATTAATTTTTTCCCTTTGGATCATAAAGATCTAAAAAAAATCGAAAATGAAAATCTAGTGATCGATAATAAAAAAAAAAATTATTGAAAAACTTGATATCCAAAACAACAAAACTACATCATCATCATCATCATATTCAGCAACAAGTATATACTTGAGGAGTGCCACTTTTTTTCCCACTTATTATAGGTGCTTGTTTGTTGCTGTTGTTTATTTTCATTCATTCAGACATCATCATCATATTATGGTCAGAGAAAATATTTATTTTTTTTTATTAAGTAAAGAGCCACACACACACACACACACTACTTACAATTAAGTTCATCATCATCATTACTAAGATGAACTTTGTACCAACCAACCAACCAAATTCAAGCTATAGCAAAGTACGAAAAAGATAAATAAAATCTGATTTCAATTAAAGATGTATCTATGAAACACACAGTGTATGACTGGATGTGTATAAGATGCTGCCAAAAACAGAAAAAAACAGGCTTGTTCGTTGCTTTGATAATTTTTTGTTTTCTCATTTTTTTTTTTTGGACACATCCTCGCCCAACTTAACGAATATCAAAACAAAACATCTTTTTTTTGCTTGCGTCCAGGCAATAGTAATTTTTTTTTTATTTTGTTTTTCTGTTGTTTTTGTTTTTCTAAAATTTGAGTTGTTGTCTTAATTGTTCACACAAACTTGCACAGGTCATTCGATTTTTATATATGCTAAAAAAATTATAACTAAATTTTTGAACTATATAAACATATATGAAAAATGATGTTTGTGTGTGTGTGTGTGTGTGTGTATGAACACAATGATCTGATTTTTGTTTTGGCCAACAAATAATAATGATTTCAATGTTTTGTTCAATAAATAAAAAAAATAAGGATTGGTCAATTGATTAGCATCCTTGAATTATTATATATTTTGTGGAATAAACATTTTCCACTCGATTGATTTAGGTCAATGTTAGCGGGCAAAAAAAAAAGAGTTCGAGAGAGAGAGAGAGAGAAAGAGAAAAAAAAGAATTCAGATTGGTTGATTGAATAAATTGAAAAAATTGTATTGATTGAAGGAAAAAAAATATTCTAAAAAATGAATTAATCGTGATCTATGTGAAAATATTTTTGATTATGTCAATATTCCAAAAAAAAAAATATTGTTTCGTTATTACCATTCATTGATAGATCGAATTATTCTACTTTTTTCCCTCTCTCTCTCTCTCTCTCTACTGATCTATTCAAATCGATGATGATTGGTTAGTTGTACATTACATACCATTATTATTATTATTATCATCATATGTTTTTGAATAATGTTTAATGATAGTTATCTTTGTTGTTGTTGTTTGCATACTGGTATCAATTTTTATGGGGTCACATTTTTTTTTATTACCAAAATGAAAAAAATTCGATAACAATTGGATTGATGTATGTGTGTGTGTGTGTGTTATGTATTCGTTTTGGATTCAAATCATATCATTAGTATCATCATCATCATCATCATTGGATGTCAGGTTACAATTTTTTTTTTATTCTCTGAATGAATGAAAAATCGTGTTGTCCATTTGAATTTCAAAGTTTTTTTTTATTTTTATTTTTTGGTTGTTATTCGTTCTTAGATCTATCATAGATTATATTCAGCATTGTTATGATTATTATTACTATGGTGGTTGTGATACAGATTTCCCACGGGATACAATAACAATAACAACAACAACAACAACTACAACAACAAATGAACATTGAACAAATGTATCATCATCATCATCATCATTTGTATTTACAAGTGTTTTTTTTCCTTTTTTTCTGTGTTCTGTATGTGTATGTGTGTCCAGTTTTTTACATAATAATCATCATCATTTATATTTATATTTAGTAATGGCATACAAGAAAAAATTGTGAGGGGGTGGAAACACAAAAAATAAATGGACGGTAAATCACACAGAGGAAAAAGATTTGTATTTACCTGTTGCTTTTTTTTCTTCTCTCACTCTCGTACAACATCAATATGATTGAATCAAAAAAAAAGGTATCCATTCATTATTTCTTAGATCTAATTTTAACTTTTCATATAAATGATGTTTGATTGCCAAGATTTGTCTGGCTCGAATAGACAAAAAAAATATATTTAACAGATAATAAAATTGAACAATAGTAAATGTGTAATGCAATGATGATGATGATGATGATGAAATCACAAATCACAAGAAAAATATTATTTAGGTGCACAATAGATAACACCAATCATCGGTAACGATCAAATGATGATTGTTGTTTGTTGTGATACTATTTTTTTTTCTCCACAGGAAAACATGAAAAAATCATTCGGCAATAATAACAACAACAACAACAACAACATAATAATAATTTTATTCTTTCTATTTATTTGACATAATCAACAGAAAAGAAAAGAATAATTGTTCTAATTTGATCGTTTATCATCATCATCGTTTGCTTTTATTCATTCGATGACAATATGAAAAGAATTCTTATCGCAAAAATGATGATGATGATGATAAATTGATCATACAAAAACCGGGTGAAAAACCGCAATTCAAAATTTTTGAAAGAGTTTAATGACCGGTAACAACAACTTGTTAGAGTGAAAGAAAGGAATAAAAAATTTTGTTATTAATTATCAAAACATACACACACACACACACAATTGAAAAAACAATTGGATACAACAATGCAAGGAGCAACAACAGCAACAGGTTTCAATACCCATAACAATATTTGTTGAAAATTTTTATGAAAATAAAAATACCTTTTTCATTCATTAGAATATTTTGCCAATTTATTCTATTCATTCATTCATTCATTCGTTTATCATAACAAACAAAATGATAAATCATTTATCAGTTTATATATGCTGTGTATTTTAAATTTACCTGAATGAATTAAATTACTGAATAACGATGATGATGATGATGATGATGACGACACGATGAAACGCGGATCTATCCTAGGTCATGCTATGTCACGACCATGGACCCTTTGCTCGATTTGTACCGTGGATGAAATTCAACCAAAAAAAAATAATATAACAATGTTGACCACCACTTTGCACTGGTATTTGACAGGTTTTTGTTTATCTTTTCTTTCTCTCTCTATATATATATATAAAAATATGAACTATTATTCCATTTTGTAGTAAAAAATTAAAGCCAGAAATTCGGATAAATCACGAAAAACTTAAAATGAATGAAAAAGGTGACAATAATTATTTTTTTTCCATAGAAAAAAGTCTTTTTGCTTTTCATTTTTCTATCATGAAGATGGTGAACAAAATTTACAAGGAATAAATAGGAAAAAAATTTTCAAATTTCATTCAAAAAGATGGAATATATAATATTTCTATATGATCAAACACATCCACCACACCACCACAAAGAATAAGAAAGTACATGAACCAGGATCTAGAAAATTTGGCGCCCGTATTCGTAGTTGTGTTCGTATACGCTCAATTTACTCGCTAATTACCCCCACTGAATATAAACCATTATACATCAACAATATTGATGGAGGCAATTTGATGATGATGGTGATGGTTGTTTCTCATTTAAACAACCATCGGCATGATTCTTTCTTTTTCGATTTATTTTGATCGAATCAATGGATGAATGAATGTGTGATTTTTTCAACACCAAAACATGTGTATATATATCATCATGCAGTTTTTTGACGACCATATCCTTCGTCAGATAGATAAATCAGATTGATAGATAGATGATAAGATAGCAAACAAATAAACATGCAAAGTTTTCTTTTTTTTTTTCACCATCGATTAATGTAATTGAGTAATGTTTGACCACCATTTGAAAATTAATTATAATTGTCGTCAATGATGTAAGTATTATCTGCTTGTAAATACATGTATATGTATCCGGTGTCTATGAACTTTCACATTATGCAATCATCATGCATACAGGTAGCTGCTGCTGCTGCTGTGTATAATCTAATTTAATTATGAATCTCAATCTGATTTGAATTCGAAGGAAGAGAAGATGAAAAAAATTAATTTATTGAATGAAAGAAATTTGATTTGATTATAATTGATTGAATTATTTGATTGTTGTTGTTGTTGTTGTTGTTAGTGTGATGATTCGGCGCTGTTAATCCACAAGATTTTGATAATAAAATTCTTTCATCTGTATTAGAATATCGAATATGATGAAAAATTTATGCAAAACAATTTCCGAATTGAAATGTTGTTTTTGTAATAAAAAATTGAAACGATAAAATTCTAAATCGAAAATGATCTGTAAAAAAGAAAAATTTTCACATTTTTTCCGATTCTTTGTATTACCCACCACATACCTCACCGAGTTGTGTGTATAAGTTTCGTACTTTTAGTCGTAAATTATTACGTCTATCCGAAGTGATTTGTCTATGTTCCTGATAAAAATCATAACGAATACGGAAAAAATAATAAGCAATCGAAACGAATAAACGATCCGATGAAATGATGATATTTTCAAAATTTTTACGTTTCCATTCAATTTTACTGGTATCATTTTCCATCATACAAGAAGAATTGGCAATTGTCAATAATCTATACAATTCTTTATCGAATTGTCGATTCTTTTTCTGATCATTCAATTGAAAATAACGTACATGTTGATATAAACGTTGTTGAATGGTTAATCGTACAATATCGTTTATACATTCATTGTTTTTTTGCTGAAAATTTGGATAGCCATGTAAATATTTTCTTTCAATTTCATCACATTTTTGTTTAAAATAATCATAAATTAATTGCTGTTCTGTATTCATTGTCGGTTGATATGTTGTTCCAATAAACATGTTCATTCGTGGATCAAATAATACATTGCCAAATTTAAATATATCATCTCTATCTATTCGTGAAAAATTATAATAATCATTTTGTGTGAATAAAAATCCATTCTTTTTCAGATGAACTATTATGGTTAAATATGGATCGTTGATATTTTTTTCACCATCATCATCATTGCCATTGATCATAATCATCAAACTGAATATGATTATTACTAGAAATGGAGAAAAAAACATTAATTTAATGGATAATGTCAACGCACATTACTCACATAGAGAAAGAAGAATTTCCCAATGTTTCATCACCATTAAATTGAAGAGGTAAACGAACGAAAATCATGAATTCAACTACCAATCATTGCGGATTACAATAATCGATCGATTATTTATTTATTTATATACATTGTGTTTGCCATAATCAAATTCAATTTGAATTTTTTTTTCTATTTTTTGTTCTTCGATTCATTGTTGTTGAGAATTTTTCTTGTTTGATTTGATTTGATTGTTCTCATCATCGTGCCCATCAATAAATAACGAACAAACAATCAATACAAATCGATTCGATTCTATTATCGATTATTCGATTATTATATTAAGTTATTATCATTCGTCGGTTATTTTTTTTCGTGTTTGTGTTTGTGTTTGTGTGTGTGTGTGTGTGTCTATCACATCAAATTTTCCAACACGAACAATGAACAATTCTCATGTTTACAATACAAACATTACCATTCAAGCATGAATGACGTTTTTGTTTTGTTCACAAATCGTCATCGGAAAATTTTTCTTTTAACTGGCAATCATCATCATCATCATTACCAAGTAATCATCGGATGCTAAATATAATAATAATAAATTTTTTACAAAGTAAACACACACACACACATTTTTTAGATTCTAGGAATTGAAATGACGAATGAATGGAATAGCAATCAATTTTTTCCACATTTCTTTCTTCCGTAGATTCACCGAAAAAAATATGATTTGTTTTTACATCATTTTTTTTACCTGTATGTGTTTGCCGCCATAATTTCGAAAACATTACTATAGTACTGTTATGTGTCTATATATTATTTAACACCTAATCAACTTTAATGATGAAAAATTGGTTCAAACATTTGATCAATCGCGTATACAACGGTTACGAGAATTGGATAAATTAAAGAACCAATTACACAACATTTATAACGGACCACCAAACAGAAAAGAATGAAATGAAATGAATTCATCTTGTTTGGTGGTCCGTTTATCCGTTTTTTTTTTTGTTATTGTTCAATTGTAGCTGTTAATTTACCACATTTTTCCGTGCAATATTGGCCAAAATTGTCTTTTGTTGTTGTTGCTGCTATTATGAACAAACAGTGAGAAAATTCTTTCTTTTTTCTCGTTCCGACAATCTAAATTTGTGTGGTCGTTTTTTGTCAAATTTGAATCTATCATTTGCCATGTTCATCTGTGATAGAAAAAAAGTTTGAAAATTTTTGTAAAATTTAAAAAAAAATTTCACTAAATTTCACAAAACTCTTGAAAAAAAATTAATTAAAAAAACGATGATGATCCAGATGTGTATAATAAATCAACAAAATTTCGTTGAATTTGTTATTGTGCATACTTCATATTGCTCGTTGGTAAATGAGAAAAAAATGGCAAAATTTTCCAATTTCAAATAGCATTTTTTTTCTCCCCAAAGATTAATTAAAAATGAGAGACACATCCACCTCTATTTTGTAAACGAATAATCAACATCGAATGGGGGACCTGAAATATAAGAGCAATAAATCTGGGTCCACAACATTGCTTCGAGGTGCTCAACGACCATCAACGACGGCCAAATACACATCGTTCAAGATCATTATTTTTCGATATCGATCGATCCATCCATACAGCAGCAACAACACTAGTACCAATTAGTGTTTTTTTTTCTTGAAATAATAAACAAAGACAACCAAAGGCATCCACCATCCATATGGATGACTAATTATCGTCAACAACATCCAAACCAAAAAAAAAAAAAAAAAAATTATTCAAAAATATTTGGTGGTTGATTGGCACACGAATATTATGCATATATTAAATGAGACCATATTTATATTGACATGATGATGATGAGGATGATAATGATGAGAATCAAATTATCAAAAGGCCATAGAAAGAGAGAGAGAAAAAAATGTAAGCGAAAAAAGCCTTCAAGCCACAGAGGACCAGATTCCAGAACAACAACAACAACAAAAAAGAACATAATGATGATAATGAACCCAATATGCATGATGATGATGATGATGATGATGATGAAATAATGGTGGCCATAATTATTTTTTAATAAACAAAAAAAAATGGATGATCCTTCTGGCCGAATTCTTTGTCTCATTTCGGTTTCACTTGTTTTTTTTCACCATTCTTGGCAAATAAGTCAAATTAAATTATAAAAATAACATTTTTTTTCGATTATCATTGATTCTATGATATGATATCGGCAATGTTGGTTGTTGTTGGTCCCCTCAAGAACAAATAACATCCAATATGGAATAGCAATGATGATGATGATGGTCGTAATTTAGCATAAATTACCATAACATCTATCTATTGCTCAAAAATAAATAAGAGTGAAAAAAATATGAAAATCGATGCTAATTTTGCTTTGAAATTTTTTGTTTTCAAAATTAGCCTTAATTATCTAAAAAAGATGTTGATAATCGTTGTAAGATGATCAGATCGTGTGAATTTTTTTTTTATTTTGCCATCATCGATTGATGTGAATTTTTTTTAATGTTTTTATTTTGGTCCCGGGAAAAAAATTCTTTTCTCATTTGGAATATTTTTTTTTCTTAAAATGACACAAACTAGCATGAAGATGAAATTGTCAAAGAAAAAAAGATGAAATTTCCAATCTAAAACCAGCCAGAAACATAATTGATGACATGATTATAACGGTGAAACAGATTACAAAAATTCTTCGATAATGATCTTCATTAATTTATTCATTCATTCATTTTTATTGAAACAATAAATGACCAATGATGATAATAATAAACATTATCGTTTATGATAAGATAAAATTATTCAAAATTCATCACCAAAAAAAAAAAAAAACAAAACAAAAGAAACATTACCATGATGATGATGATATCCATATATAGTCTTCTTTATTATATTTTGGCCAATGAATACGAGTTTATCATTAATGATGATGATGATGATGATGGAGAGCAAATCGATTGTTATCCTGAATATCTTGAGCTAATAATGATGATGATGATTTTTTTTTTCTTTGACCATAACAATAATGACCAAAGCAATTGTTATTGTTTTTCTTTTTGTCATCATCATCGACCTAGATTATCAATAATTTTATATTGATGTGTTCTCCATACATTACTATGATTATTACTGTTTTTTTTTTGTTTATCATTCTCATATTGATTCTATGGAATAAACGAAATTGGCATTAGCCATAAGTATTTTGGATTGGAAAAAAATTTATTTTTTTTAAAACAAATTGTTCATAAATTAGAAATTCAAAAGTTGAATTCATCAAATACAATATTACGAGTGTGAGTATGTTTTTTTGTATGGAAAAGAGACGAAAAAAAAATTTGAATTTTTCATTCCATGGATAAAAAACGGATTTGTTATAATAAAAACTAAAATAAAATATGATTGATGAATAAAAAAATAAAATAAAATAAAACATAATCGATAAAATTCCATAAAGAATCGTATAACATCCAGGTCGGCAATATGCCGTACGGGGATATTTTGTTTCATGAAGAAGCAGCAGCAGCAAGAATCATTTATTTGTTGCAAAATCATTCGGATGAATGAATCATTACCGATCATTCATTGATCGATATTTATGGAAATGTGAATAAAAAAAAATTATAGCAGAATATAAATGTATTTTGTCATATATATTGATTTATAATAATAATAATAAAAAATGAATTGAATGTTTATAATGTTATAATACTAATAAGAATAATGATGATAAGCATGATAATGATGATAATATATTTATGAATAGTTTATATTTATAAATGTTTAGGGTATATGTGTGTGTGTGTGTGTGTGTGTCCAAAATACGAAAAACGTGATCAAAATCCATAATAATAATAATAATAATGGGTGATGATGGATTCTCTTCCCATTCCATTCTTTTAAAGTTCAGTTCTTTTCTCGTTGATATATAAAGATGTGAAATTATTGTTTTTTTTGGGGGGTAAAGTGAATATGAATGGTGTTATCATATGAATATAAATAAATTTTTCATTAGAATGGCTTGGTGATAGTTGAGGTTGTTTCAAAAAAACATGAAAATGCATAAACAATAAAATGAAATGTTGATTTATGCATTTCTGTTCATTCGATTGACAATGAGATTTGTTAGAAAAAAAAAAAAAATTATGAAATGAGCCATTCTGTCAATCTTTAGTCGGTTTTATCCATTCATTCATTGATCGACATCGTCGTCAGATTGAGTGTTGTTGTTGTCCAAGTCAAACGGTTCAAATTAAATGATGACAAAATTAGTCCATGACAAACGGGTATCGTATTGTATTATTTGGCCAGACACATCATTGTTGTTGTCGTTTTTGTGGTCAAACCTGTCCAACATTATTTTTTCTTTTTTTTTGACAAATTTGACAAGAAAGCGACCGATTTGTTTTTTCTTTCGTCTTTCGTATTTCATTTATTTGAATTTTCTGTCTGTTTCTATAAAATTGTTTACAAGAAAAAAAAAAAAAAAAAAAAAATTAGAATTTTGTTTTCTCAGTAAATTAATTTTCGCATTTCATTCAGGTCATCATCATCATCAATATATCAATAATAAGAAAAAAGTAGAAGGAAAAAAATCGAAGCTGTCATAGATATCTCTTCTCGTTTCATTTATTCATCCATTCACAATAAAAAAAAACAACAACAACAATAATGTGCGACACATTGAATATTTTTTTCCACTATTGATTAGTATAATTGGAACAATTTGTTTCACAAATAGTTAAAATGAAACAAAATACAAAAAAAAAAACAGCCGAAAAAACAATCCGAAGATAATCGAAACAAGGTGAAGAAATTGAATGAAAGAGGCGTGTAATGCGTTTGTTTGTTGTTGATTGTTTGTCCACACTGTGTTCAATTCAATTCAATTCAATCATCATCAGGTCAAAAGTCAAGGCAAAAAAGTGGTGGTGGTGGCCAACATTTTCGGACTTCCAACTGTGCAAATGGATCAAAGAAGTGTGTGTATGTTTTTGTGAGGGAGACAATCTTGAATTTTGTTTTTTTTTGAAATCGAAATGAATTTCAATTTCAATCAGTGATGATATGAATTTTTGAGAAGAGGTTCCTCTATCCTTTTTCTTTTTTTTTTTTTTTTTTTCAGCTAAGAATTGGAAAGATTTGACAAAAGAAAAATTGCTTTTTTCACATTCCACATTCATTATTCTCTCATCGATAATCACTTTTTTTGGCCAATTAATTTAAACCACAATAACAACAACGGTGAAAAAAATGGCACTTGATGATGAATAACCACTTAAAAGAATGTATAGAATTTCTAATGAAAAAAAATCTTAAAATCCGTTAAATTTTTTTTTCTTTTAAAACTATAACTGGTCAGTTTTTGATTACATTAATTAATTTTTAATTTTTTTGTTTTTTCAAAACAATATATTCAGGTGATCAAGTGATCAATTATAAATAACTCATTCATTCCAGAACGAAAAAAACTGATCCATAAATGTCAAACAAATTTATAATTACAGGGTTATTTATACACTTTAGAAAGCGTGAAAATAACCAAAAAGAAAAAAATGGATCGATTGAATATGAATATATCAAAGAATAAGAAAGAAAAAAAATTCTCACATAATGTTCATTATTCATTGGTTCACAGGGCTGACCATTTCTGCTGAAAGCACAAAGATTTTGTGTATTGAAATTCAGAAAGATGAAATTAATTATCCATCGTCTGCGATGGTCAAATTTTTTTTTATTCCTGATATAATTTACATTTATTAATGATAATATCAAAATCTCGCGCGTTCGCACTGACCCTGATATAATGATGTGATGATGATGATGATGATGAACAAACTTAGAACAAGGAATTAACCGCGTTCATTATCATCATCATCACTACTGACTATATCACAGACAAGAGATTATTATTTTTCTTTTTTTTTCTCTCTTCTAGACTTAATTTCTATTGTTCAGCAAAATTCTCTAGATTTTCTTTTTTCAATTAACGACTAAATTTCCATTTCAGACAAAAAATCATCAACGAAAAAAAACTTGTGGATTATAAAGCCAATGAAATTTTTTTATCATCATCATCACCATCATCATTGTCACCATTTTCAGGTCGTTTTTTTTTATTCTTTGCACATAAAATTCTAAAACACATTAAAATCTGAAAACCACACACATACACACTGAATAAATGAGAGCTCAAGAATCACGGAGGTTCCATACACGAACAGAGTTTTCAAAAAAAAACTTTATTTTCTCAAAAAAAAAAAAAAAAAAATTTCAATCAATCACTTAGAGAATGAAGAAAGAAAAAATGGAAAAAAAAGTTCATCAACTTTTTTTTTGCCTCAAGTATTCATGATACTTCATCATCATCTTTGGCCTTAGGGTCAAATAATATGTATGCAAGCAAGTGCGTGATATATCTTTTGGTTTTTGGTTTTTGACATATTGCTTTGCCACAAACCAATATTGGTTGTTGTTGGCTTGTCAGTAGCTTGTGGTCAACATAACCAAAAAAAAAAAAAAAAAGTAGGCGTACAAAGCGGTCAATAACATTTACAAATGAAGAGGAAAAATGGTTCGATGGGAACCAAAAAAAAAAAATTAAAAAAAATTCTTAAAAAATTTATCTCTTTAGAGGGCAGTGAAAAGCACGCATTTTTTTCATTGTTGTTATTGATGGATGATGAACCGTTTTTTTTTTTTTTGGTTGACCATTCCATAAGCGTTTTGAAAGCGAAGGCGTTTCAAAATGATCAACCAAAAAATAACAATCAATTCTAGCAAGATAACCATTGCTTTAAAAATCCATCATCAGCAACAGCAGCAGTAGTTGCTTATGGATAGCTACCGAAGGATCGGTAAGTTACCATCATCACCACCACCACCACCACCGCAATGGAATCCACAATAGAATTGAATGTGTTTGTGTGTGTAAATAATAATGATAATATGCAAGCCTTGAGGCTTCTTCCCACGCAAAAAAAAAAAAATTTAAAATCCGCATTTTTTTTATCTCCAATCTATTTCTCCACCTACAAACCACCAATGATCATTACCATGTCAATGATAATAATGATATGATATACCATTTTGGTGTTTGCCACTGGTCTGTATTTTGTGTTGTATGTTTTGTAACAAAAACAAAAATCTTTTGGTCTAAAGAATTTCGAATGACACTTACTCTTTCAAATATTATAAAGCAGCAGCCATAGTAGATGTTATTGTTTTCGTTGTGGAATCTTGTGAAATTTTACTAGAATCATTTTTTCCTCGCGCTGTTATTGTTGTCGGTGATGATGATCGATTATTGTTGTTGACTAGATTTGCTTTAGTTAATTCAGTTTCATAATGATGACCAATATTATCATTTGATGATGTGGTTGTCGTTGTTGATGAACCATATGGTGTAAATAATGAATGTTGATGGCCATGACCATGATGATGATGATGTGTTGTTCCATATGTTGTTTGACTATGATGATGATGATGAAGTAATGAATCCATTGGAAATGTTGATGCTAAATGTGGATGATGATGTGGCGATTGTCGATGATCACCATTATAATATTGATGTGTAGCAGCTGTAGTGGCTGTAACTGTATGATCACCAAATGATTCTCCATTGGAATTTATAACTGTAGAATTTGCAGCAGCAGCAGCGGCGGCAGCAGCCGTTGCATATCCAGGCCAAAATTGATGAAATGATGATAATCTTGGAAATGTTGAATGAAATGTATCATCATTTTGATGATGTTGTAATGATTTTTGTTGGTCACTATTATTATTATTATTATTATTATTAATGTATCGGCCAATGATTATTTTTCTGATGATGATGATGATGATGATATGAATGGCTATACATTGGTTCAAAATTCATAGTTGAATTTGGAAAATTACTTGTTGTTGATGATGATGATGATGATGTTGTTGAAATTGATGATGATAATGATGTCGTTGTTGTTGTGGTTGTTGAAAATGGTGATTGTTTTTCAAACATACTTGGTGGGGATTGTGATGTCATACTACCATAATCTGATGTTGTTGATGTAATCGATTCTGGTGAACGAACTTTATCTAAATCTCTTCGATCATTATTATTATTATTATTGTTGTTGTTGTTGTTGCTAATATCATTTGTAGAATAATTTTTTGAAATATTACGGATACTAGTGGCAGTTTTAGCCGTTATAAATGCTGATGAGACCATTGGAATTTCTGATGTTTGTGGTTGATGTTGATGAATATCGGTATAACCACCGGTCGCCAATGCCGATGGTGTATATTGATGATGCATGATTGGTGTTACACCCACAGTTTCATGATCAAAAATAGTAAACGATTTATGATTCTGATGTGAATGATAATGGCTTTGATGTGGATGATGATAATGTGCCATTTGTGGATGATGATGGCCTGTATAAGCTGATCCAATCGAACTACCATAATAAGTGGCTGGAGTAATCATTGAGAGATCTGTATTGCTAGTACCTGATGATGATCCAAACATTGAACCGGTACTAGAACGGTGATGATAGGCACTAGGATATGTTGATTGATTGGAATTTGTCATCGTAGAATTATGATTATTTCTATAAAATTCATATGATGATGATAATTGATCATTTAAATTCGTCGTTGTAATTGTATTAGCCGTTGTTGTAGCGGTAACATTTGCCAAATTATTATTTGATTGATTCTTTTTATTTTTACTTCGTTTATTATTCGATGGTTCATTATTGTTTGTTCCATTTTGACGATTACGTTTTGTTCTAGTAGTTTTCGTTATCATTGATGGTGGTGGTGGTGGTGGTGATGATGATGTTTGTTCTTCTTTAATACAATGTTCAATAGCAGCGGTTGCTGGCGGTGTATTTGGTACATGATTTAAATTAGTTGTCTGTGTTTGATTAGTCTGATATGGTAATGTACCAGCTTGTGGTGAATATTGTTGAAGCTGGGCCATTGATGATGATGAATATTGTGTATGTATGCCATAGTTATCATATTGGCCACTATTATTATTGGTGCTAGAATTTGTTTGAATTGACATTCCATTTGAATATGATGAAAAATCATTACTATTTGAGTGGGTAGGATGAATAACTAAATTTGGTGCTTCAGTAGCATGAAATGTTGTTGTTGTTGTTGCTGCTGCTGCCGCTGATGTTGTTGATGATGATGATGATGATCCAGTTATTGTTGAATCATCATTTGCATTTGTATAATCATTATTATTATCAGTAGTATATGGTGAATTTGATGATCGATTTATTGTTGTGGCTGCTGTTGATGATGATGATGATGATTGTTGTTGTTGTTGTTGTTGTAAATGATGATCATTATAATTATTTGATGTATTTGAATTACAACTTGGTGTTGGTGATGATGGTACAGATGTCATAATACCACCAGATGAAGATGTACCAGTAGTGGAATTTTGTAAATAATGCATTTTTGAATGTAGTGAATAAAATTGATATAACCATTGATTTGTTTGCATTATGGTAGCTTCTTTTTCACTATTGTTGAGAATTCAAGTAGAGAATAATACATTTTGTTATTTTGTTGAAAAATATTGAAAAAAATTTTTTTCGTTTAAAAATTTCATGGCCTTACCTTAATACTTGATTTGTACAAACAATCACTGGTTGTTGGCTATTTTCATTATTATCTTTAACCTGTAATACAACATGTACCCAAATCCATTGCATTGAATTTGTCTGTAGTCGTAATAGCAGTATACAGGAACGTTCTTGTTCCGATTGGATTACTGTGAAAAAAATAAAATTTTGAAAATCATTTTCAATTAAAAACATTGTTGAATCAATGAGTGAAAAATAAAATATCAATTATAAAATTCTTACTTAGCCTATGTTTGGATTGTGCTTCTTTCAGATTATCCCAATGAATAATATCATACCAGGAAAGATTTTTCAAACGATTTTTTCGATAACCAAGATGAAATTCACCACTGTGTAAATGGAGAATGGAAAAAAAATTATAATTACAATTATTTTGAAATTTTTAACAAAATTATGTCACATGAAAAATAAAAAAAAAATATCCATAACAAATCGAATCAGAAAAAAATTCCCATCAGTTCGATATCAAATCATTGTTATTATTATTGGTGCCAGAACGACGTCAAAAAATACGACCATGATGATGATGACGACGACGACGACGACGACAACAATAATATTTTGTATGTTTATTTGCTTGTCTATCATTATGATTTGTATATAGAGGTTGGTCACACAAACATATATCCTTGATGTTGTCATTAGAAAAAAAACCCGAAATAAACATCGACATTATTCTCTCACAAGGACCAGGTAAATTATATACCAACAACAACAACAACAACAACAATAATCAAGTGGACAAGTGGACAAAACGGAATACCCGGTACCAGTGAAACCATGGCCACAACCACCACCACCACCACCATCATCATCATCATAATCATTGATCCTAAATTCTTAATATATAGTGTGGCCAAAGCGGTAGCGTGCCATCATCATCACACAAGTGTCAATCATCATTGTGAAAAACTAAAAGTAAAAAAAAAACATTGTATATTGATAATGATAATGATGAACAGAACAGAACAGAACCAATATCATATACAAAATGATTAGATTAGACCTTGTTTTGTAATGTAAAAATGATGATGGCCTTATGCTGTAATCATCATCATCATCATCATCATTGGTGTCTGGCAGAGAACCCAAACGAACAAATAAATAATAATCAACCGAATAACCATCTAAACATGTTTATTTCGAAAAAAAACAACAAAATTTCTATTGTTGCCACTATGGCAATGTTACTTGTATATTTTGATCTAAAATGAGAAAAAATGAAATGAACAACAACAATAAAAACAAGGAAATGTATCATAGAATATATCCATGTATGTCTAATCGTCTGTGACATCGATTGATGTTGATGTCGATGATGATGATGATGATGTGATCCATGCTATAATCATAATGGTCATTCAGATGATGATGATGATGATCTATACCTCCTCCACGTGTATTTTTTTTTGTCTTTTAATACGCGTGGGAGCGAAAAAAAAATAATAAAACAACAACATCGTAGGCTAATTCTGAATTGTTTCAATAATAATCATCATTATTATTATCATTCGGACAAAACAATGGCTATACGTTTCGTTTTTTTCCCATCATCATTTAGTGTATATTCTAAATCCGAAACAGAAAAAAAAATTATTATCCAAAATGGACAATGTAAAAAAAAACGAAAAAATCTATTCATTGTTAGTCTTCAATCGTCGGCGACAAAGTTTTTTATTTTTGTTTTGTTTCATGTCATGTCTATGTGAATATATTGAAGATGAAAAAAAAAAATTGGAGCAACAAAACAAAATAACAAAATCTTCTCTCTTTATAGACAAGTGATCTGAATCATTATCTATAGAATTAGAATGAATTGACGATGATGATGATGATTATTTGATGATACGAAATGATGTCGCGTGTGTGTGTGTGTGACATTTCTCATGAATCATAAACAAATGACCTTTTTTTACATGAATAAAAATGTTCTCATTTAATGGTTATCGACTAACTTAACTAATAATGATTCTGAATTTTGGAATATTTCTCTTTTTTTTCGTTGAATGACAAGATCAATTTTGATGATGATGTTCGTCATCATTATCATTTCCATGTCCGTGTTCTATCCATTACCCATATCAATGTTGAATGATGTGTGTGGGGAAGATGGACACAATTTTTATTTCTGGTTAAAGAAAATGATGCGATTGTGTTGTATTGAATAAATGAATGAATGAATTGAATGCCAGAAATACAAGAAAGATAACAAGATTTATATGTCATGATATGACACATCCACACACACAGCACACAAACAACACAACTATCGTTTCGTTTCGTTTTTTTGAAGTGAGATTTTTATTCCGTAAACTGAACAACAAAAATGGACAACCAATTGAATCAAAGTCACGATTTGCGTAGGATCATCATCATCATCCATCCATCTATCTATCCACCATTTCTGGTTATAGAATAGCAACATATAACAAGCTCTAATTGTTCTAAACATTTTTTTAATGTTTAGTAAAGTTTAAAAAAAAGAGCAGGGTAGCAGATGTTCATTATTACCATCATCATCATCAAAAAATCCAAAAAAAATGATGACAACATAGAGAATTTTGGTCCAGAATCTGTTTTTTTCGAAGAAAAAATAATGCACAAACATCTGTTGATCCATATTGACCTTCAAGCAATATTTCTTATACATTTATTATGATTATTATAATTGAGAATCTCATCATCTAATCTGTATGTGTGGCTAATTTGTGTGTGTGTGTGTGTGTGTGTGTGAAAACACGATGCCACAAAAGCCTCAAGCAAAATTAACACATCGTGATTAAAACTATAACAACCATCTATCACCACCACTATATCACTATCACCATTATCGAATCAGTTTCAGGAACGATCGCTTTCGATTGATTCAATAGTTGTTGTTGTTGTTGTTGTTTAATCGATAGAACCACAAATAAATGTGAAAAATGAATGAATGAATCGTGATCTAGATTTTTTTTTTTTTTTGACTCAAAAAAAACATTACAATTCACAAGTGATGATGAACTGTTTGTTGTTGTTGTTGTTGTTGCTATTTTCAGTTCTAATTTTAATTTCTCATCAAAAAAAGTCTGATTATAGAAATGAAAGAGAAAAAAATTTCTATGGTCACGAATTTTTTTTCTCTGTCGATGATCAATTAAACAAATTAGATCAAACACGAATCATTATTATAATGATGACGGATACGGATTCGATATTGATCGTGCAATATTGGTGCTAGGAATTTTTTTTCTGAGATCAATTCATCACTTTAATGATCGTAGATGATGATTTCGATTCTGGACATATAAGTTTAATTCGAAAAAAAACAACAAACTTACTTTGAATCCAAATGTATGAATTTCATATCCATTGAATGAATTGATGTGAAAACATTCGTACTACCTTGTACGACACATTCACGAGTTTCGGGCATTGCCACCGGTGTACATGTGGCAAGAAAAACCGGTTCATTTCGGCTACATAATGGTAGATAGCTAACAAAATGTCCTTGGACTAGTACAACCTATATAATGTAAGTGAAGGGGTTTATAATAATTGTTGATAATTTAAAATTCAAAAATACAATCAATCAATTTTACCTTTTGATCACCGAAACGCATTTGTCGTCGTGAATTTCGTGAAACATTCATACGACATAAAAATATTCGGCCATCAGATATGGTTGATGATGATGATGATGGATTTGATGATGATGAACGCATTAATTCATTCTGTATAGTTTGATGATCTTGTTTTTCAATAATATCATATACACTATCGCCATGGATGAGTAGATCTTCCTGTAATTTTACATCAAAAAACAAGCAGAAAAATACAAATTATAAATAATAATAATCATTGAAAATGACAACAACTACAACAAAAAGGTTATAATTTAGTAAATCAATCAACAATCATCAAGTTGGTCAAATGAAATTTTGACGAAAAACTAGACTGCTGACAACTTCTGCCAACAATAGCAACAAGTTAGTTCCAGTTCTGTTGCATATATATTATTCAGTCATTCAGATCGATCGATTTTTCTTCACAAACACACACACACACACACACACACAATAATGAATGGACACAAACCACCACCACCACCACCAGAAAAAAAGCTAGGCTAATTACGTATTACAAATATATGTGCAATGTGTGTAATATAATTTCCGATTGTAACAAGTGTACTTTGTTTACGTTGAACGAAATAAAAAAAAACCGCGCGTGTATCATTACGCCTTTGTTGTTGATGATGATGATGATGATGATGATTGCGGCAAAACTATGTCATTATATGAATGAAACATACACATGAAAAAAAACAGAGAGAAAAATGTGTCGCCATTTGGATCGTGGAATAAAAATTGTGGTTATGTGGCAGATATATATATTCACAACATAAATGGCCATTAGTCGCCATATTTTTTTCCCTTTTTCCTTTTTTTTCTTCTTTAATGTCGGCGTTATTATTAACAAATCGATTGGTGGTGATAATGTAGTGAATGATAATCATCATCATCATCATCATCATCATCATCATCAACACAAAGGTTGATGATATGTCTAGAAAAATTGAGAGAAAATAGTAGCAAAAATAATAATGGCGTTTGGAATATTTGGAATATCACACACACACACACACACAAAGTGGATGATTTCAATTTCGTGATGGCCAACGAAAAAAAAGCGGCCAAACATATTTATGTTTTCAAGATCAAGAAGTAGAGATTTATTCAAAGAAAACTGAGACAGAGAGAGAGAGAGAGACATTTGTTTTGGGCTACTTGTATCTTGTTGAATCAGTATCATTTTAGTATACACGAATATTTTTTTTTGTGTGGTCAATGTCATTGTCAATTGTCATTTTCATCATCAGTAAAATTTATCACACATCTGTTGTACGAAAAAAAAGATTATTGTCCGGTCACGATCCAAAACAAAACATTAAAGAAAAAAATATTGACCACTATTGAATTCGGTAGCTAAAATAAAATTCTAGATTATACAAAACACGTGGTCAAACCATCACATATATACAAGTGACAATTAAAAAATCATCAGTAGACTGATGACACTGGTCCTGGAACAGGACATGAACTCGTGGCACGTTACAGATGACAAATGTGAGTGACTAAATGGTCAAAAAAAAAACATTGAAATCCTTAATTGAATTATGATTATGGCCTATGTTTAGTTTTTTTCCGCTCATTTTTTTCAATCAAAATCATCATTATTATGAAATGAAATGTCAGAGACGAAACACAAAATTCCGACAAAAAAAGCCGTCCACTATTATCAAAAGAATCGAGATCAATCATTTTCGATCGGTCAGCTTCAACCAAAAAAAAAAAAAAAAAAAAAAATCAATTCACATCGATCCGATGAGATAATCGTTAAGGATCGTTTTTCTTTCAACAACAACAAACAAGTATTCAATATGTTGGGGTTATGATGATAATCATAATATTTTTCTTTGATCATCAAAAATAAATGAAGAATATTAACTTGGTTACACATACAATGAAAAAAAAGCAAAGAAAACGATGGGAATTTGATTGTCCGAAAAAAAACTCTTCAGTCACTTCATTCCTGGATTCCCGAACCACTATCATAATCATAATCATCATCATCATAATTATTACACATCTAAAGGTGCCTGAAGGGCGAAAAAAAAATCCAAAGACGATGAATCTTGGTTAGCTGATGAATCGATGATGATGATGATGATGGGGACAAATCATAATTTTTATGATTATGATGATGATGATCAGTGTAACCGTCGCCATTACCACCATCATCGTCTTCGTCGTCGTCGTCGCCAATGAATTATAAAGATTTTTTTTTTTTCTATTTCCAATGTATTATTGATTGAAGATGTTCATCATCAATCATCAGTGTTTGATTCATTTTTTTTTTCCATAATAATAATAATAAACATAACAACAGTATCTTCATCAAGGATGATGTCGATGTCCAAGTCATCATCATCATCATTGATGACGACGACCAGTCTATTGGCCATCAAATGAAATTGTTGATCATCGTCATCATAAATGTTTTTTTTTTGGTCAATAATTGTTCAGCAATAAGCTAATATAAACAGTTTTCACATCAATATTATACTGGACAATTATTCTGACTTGTTACTACTACTACTACTACCTGGTTTCTGTTCTGTTGTTGATGTTGTTGTTACAGTAATTAGACATTTACATCATTGGTTTTGGAGAAAACAAAATAAAAAATCATCATCGATTATCATCGTTCATCGTTCAAATAATCATAATTCATATTGGAAAAATAAACTAAAATGATGATTATATCAGTCAACAAGAGAAAACAAGAACAAGGAGAAAAAACGATGCTGCTCATATTCATCTGCTATAAACTAAATAGAATAGAATGTCTCTGCAATTTGAAAATATTTTCAACAACAGAAAAAAATCAAACAACTGAGAGAGATGGAGAGAAAAAAAATCCGTTGAAATTCAAATATATGACGTTTAATCATTATTTTGAAAATAGTAGATCAACATATAGTTAATTTAGATGATCATGACGAATGACATGATGTTGTTGTTGTTGTCGTTGTTGTTGTTGAAAACATTAATAATCAATGATGATGATGATGATATCGAGAAAAAAAACCAGATGTATTATTTGCCACAATATACATAATCATCATGGTCATTGATTTATGATTCGGACGACAACAACAACAACAACAACAACAAAAAAAGGGTCAACAAAACAAAAACAATTCCAATTGGTTTGAAAAATTAATTCATTTTCATACATTAGCGAGAATTTGTTCTGTTTTTAATTGATCAACTTGAATAATTAGCATCAAACCTAAAATTGAAGAATAAAATTTACTACAGAATATGTTTCAAACTGTACATTATCTATGTAACAAAGAGAACAAAAAATAGACATTAATCACTAAGTGTATCTTTTCAGTTTAACAACAACAATAATAATTATCATATTAAAAACAATATAACAAAGCAGCAAACAAATTATGTGTATGTTTTTAACTCTCTTGTTTTTGCTGTCGTTCTTGTTGTTGTTGTTGTTGTTATTCACAAATTACGAATTAAGTGACCAATTACGGTACACGTGTGTAAACATTAGTGAGTGAAAACAAAAATCATCATCATGCTAATTATATTTAATTTGTAACACAATTTTCACGAATACAAATTAAAATTTACAAACAAAAAAAAACAAAACTAAATGAAAAGTTCAATGTACAGCAAGAAAAAAAACGAAAATTCCAAAAACAAAATCAATAAATCATCAAATACCAGAAAAAACATCATCATCATCATCATCATCATCACAAGAACGAGTGAAATTCTAAATCAAATCAAACACAAAGGCGCGGTCAGGATTGTTTTCTTTTAGGCGTCGGAAAATTTTTTTTTATTTATTTCACTTAATTCCTATATATATATGCTACTGTCACATATGCATTTCTATTCGATAACAACAATAACAACAACAACAGCCAGAAAAATGAAATTCGTTCACAAAAAAAAATTTGTGATTCAATTCAAGAAAAAAAAATCCTTGGATAATCATCATCATTATTATTATTATTATTATGAGATCTACATGAGAGTTTTTCGTTGTTGTTGTTGTTGTTCGCTTTGCTTTTTAAATTCAATTTGTTTGTTTCATTTTAAATTCACACACACACACATATACGGTATAACAAAAACAAACAAACAAACGAAAAAAAACACGTAAAATTCTTCGCCATTGTTGTTAATGATAAGTTTCGGTTGTTGAAAGGTAAAAAGTGAACAACAACGAACGAAACAAAAAAAAATAAGGTGAGATTCATCATTATTGTAATTGTGTGTGTGTGTGTGTGTGTGAATACGCCAACGCCTAAGGTCATATGATGGCGATGATGATGATGATGATAAGGTCAATATAATGATAATGTTCCATATGTATAAAGAATACGTTCCATCATAGTGTGGACGACTGGACGGCGCCGCGTATTTGGCAGCAAGTCCCTCACATTCATATTCTTTTTTTTCTGCTACCAGAAAAACTACTGTGGACACAATGATACCCGATATTTTTTTTCTGGATCTCTGTATATGCATTGAAGTTTATTTGTTTTCCCAAAAAAAAAAAAATATGGACAAAATGTTTTGCTTTCTGGAAAAACAATGATAATGATGTTTTGTTTAAAAAAAATCAATCAATGGATATTCGTATGTCAAATAGATCATCATCATTATCATTTCCATCTACCGGTCATCAACATATTGAACATCTGACAACGGTTTTTTTCAAATCAGAAACCATTGCACACACCAGGTATCATCATCATCATCAATAGGATCAGTATATTGTATTCATCAGTATTTTATTTATAAATCATTTTCGTTTTGTTTTTTTTTTTTTTTTGGAAAATATATTCATTCATCTGTCTATCGTGACTGTCATATTCAGTACAATGATGACTACAACAACAACAACGACGACGACTTCATTTGAATGTTAATCAAATAAGCCAATAAGCTCTTCAAATTTTTTTTTTTTTCTGGTTTTTATTTTGAAAAGAAAACAAACAAGTAAATATATATGCAAACAAGCACAACACAAATCAATTTGATTTGGAATAAGACACACACATACACATACATTCATTTAAGGAACAAGGAACGAGATGAAAAAAAAACCGTTTTTCTCCACAAAAAAAATCCACAGACAAAATGAATTCATTTCAATAAATATCGATTAGTTTTTGACATTGATTTGACAACAACAACAACAA